AGTGAGAGTCAGTGTGTGTGTGTGGGACTGTACCCCAGTGAGAGTCATTGGGGAAGAGGCAGGGCGGGAAGCAACAGGCTTAAAAATGTATAAAAATAAATGTTATGTTTTTCAACCCTTGAGCAGAATGGTGGCGATGTTAGAGGGGAATACACACAGTTGCTGATGTGTCCCTCATTGACACTGACACAGTCTCCCTTCCCCATTTGGTGCAGCTCAGTGTGTCTGGTTTAATGCCAAACCAATCGTGTCCTGCTCAGTTCTGGCGGAGGCGATCTCAGCTTGAGCCTGTCCCAGTTCCCGGCCTTTCTGTGCGGCGTACAGACACAGAGCGGGCTCCATCCTGCACTCCCTCTGTAAGTCCTTCTGAGAATCTTAATTCCGAATTTCTTCAAAGTTAGGGACCCCTCCCTGAGGCTTACTGTGTGAACCCGGGTCTTGTATTTTCAAACATACACAGACCCGGGAACTTCAATAAGGTAATTAGAATTTAGGGAGGCGGATAAATTTTTGATAAATTTTAAACTGCTTGTAATATTTAAAACCTTCAGGTTAGGAACTTGCAAATTTATGGAATGATTGTTAATGTTTGCAGCTTCACCTGGCGACAAAAGCACTTTTTTTTGCCTGTTTTGAACGTTGAAAGTCACAAATTACAAACTGTATTTGGTTGTAAAAAATAGTCCTGGAGTGGGGCTTTTAAACAGAATTGCCGGGCTCCATGTAGAATCAGATTTAAAACAGGCAGGTCTCTCGAAGCAGCATCCAAGAGATATGGAACTGTCCTGAGCACACTGAGTTTACTAACGATTCGAGGGACTTTGAGGGAATGTAAGGGAACCCGGAGCTTCACTGGAACAGAATTCTCAAACAGCAGCGGTAGGTTTAATGCTCAGAACCCAGTCTCTGGGGAAATGTGCCGAAGTGCGGGCTGTTCAAAACAGGAATTGTTGGAAAGTCATTTTCGGATCTCTGTCCGTGTCTAGTCCGGAAAATCTGTTGGTGTTTCGAGCTTGGGAACTCTGGCACTGACCTCTGACCATCAGTAAAAGGAGAGCTCTCACCAATCGACGCAAAAACATTGTAAAAGCGTAACCCTCCCTGTGAGAGTGAGAGAGATTGCCAGCCACAGAATGTTCCCCACTCAGGCTGAGGAGCGGCACGATCATCAGGCTCTTTCCTCTCTCACTCACACAGGGGGCTTGTCTGATGCTTATATCAGATTGGCTCCTGTTGTTACTGAACCTGACCCCACCAGGAGACTGTCCTTTCCACCCAACCTGGGAAAACACCCGCATATGGACGGTCTCCAGCCGTTCGTGGGATGTGGGCATCGCTGACGAGGCTAGCATTTATTGCCCATCCCTAACTGCCCCTTGAATGGTGTGGCTCTCCATTCAGAAGTCAGCTAAGAGTCAACCACATTGCTACGGGTCTGTAGGCACGCAGTTCCTTCCCTGAAAGACATTAGTGAACCAGCTGGGTTTTTTTTAACACCCCTGGTTAGCATAAGTCTAGCTTTATCTTCTAGAATTTTACTGAATTCACTTTGCACCATCTGCAATAATGGGACATCAATCATTGAACCCTGAGAATTAGTCTGGGTTACTAATCCAGCAACTTTACCAACACATCAATCCCTCATCACTCACCACATAAACGCAGTGGCTACAAGAGCAGGCCAGAGGCTGGGAATACTGCGGCGAGTAACTCCCCTCCTGACTCCCCAAAGCCAGTCCACCATCTACAAGGCACAAGTCAGGAGTGTGTTGGAATACTCCCCACTTGCCTGGATGGGGGCAGCTCCAACAACAGTCAAGAAACTTGACACCGTCCAGGACAAAGCAGCCGCTTGATTGGTACCACATCCACAAACATCCCACTCCCTCCACCACCAACGCTCAGTAGCAGCATTGTGTACCGTCTACAAGATGCACTGCCGAAATTCACCACATATCCTCGGACAGAATCTTCCAAACCCATGACCACTTCCATCTAGAAGGACAAAGGCAGCAGATACATGGGAACACCATCCCCTCCAAGTTCCTCTCCAAGTCACTCATCATCCTGACTTGGAAATATATCGCCGTTCCCTCAGTGTCGCTGGGCCAAAATCCTGGAACTCCCTCCAGTACAAAACTTCTTCTGTTCTGACCCTCTAACAGTGCGGCATTCCCTCAGCACTGACCCTCCAGCAGTGTGGCACTCCCTCAGTACTGACCCTCCAACAGTGCGGCACTCCCTCAGTATTGACCCTCCAACAGTGCGGCACTCCCTCAGCACTGACCCTCCAACAGTGCGGCACTCCCTCAGTACTGACCCTCCAACAGTGCCGCACTCCCTCAGCACTGACCCTCCGACAGTGTGGCACTCCCTCAGCACTGACCCTCTGACAGGGCAGCACTCCCTCAGTACCGACCCTCTGACAGTGCGGCACTCCCTCAGCACTGACCCTTCGACAGTGCAGTGCTCCCTCATTTGGCCTCTGGAATGGGACTTGAACCTGAAACCTTGAATTAGACATGATGGAACAAACAAAGTAGCTGGAAACTAGAGGACACTGGGGACACTGGAAGGCAATAGATATCTATCAGATGACCAGGATCATTGTGAGATAGTAAGAGCTGCCGATGCTGAAGTCAGAGCTAACACAGTGTGGAGCTGGAGGAACACAGTAGGCCAGGCAGCATCAGAGGAGCAGGAAAGCTGAAGTTTCGGGTTGGGAAATCCCATTTCTGAAGAAGGGTCCCGACCCAGGATCATTGTGTCCTGTTTTGTCTGGAATTTCCTCTGGGATATACTGACCAGATTCCAAAGTGGGATGGTCTTGGTCTTTCCAATACTAACATCATTGTGGAGAATGAAACATTGTCTTTTTGCCTCCCTCTAGGAATACCCAGTGTTTGGTTTCTCTCTGTCCCAGGAGCCCGGTACTCCGTGCTGATAGAGGATGAAGATTGCTGTGATTGGACAGAGTCTGTTTGGTCAAGAGGTGTACAAGGAACTCAAAAAGGCGGGTCACCAGATTGTTGGAATATTCACAATCCCCGATAAGGATGGTAAAGAGGATCCTCTTGGTAGGTACTGTCTAGCAATAGCTGCAATTTCTGTGTGGGTCTGTTCCCTCTGTGGTCTGTTCCCTCTGTGGGAATGGCCCCTCTGTTAGTTTGTTCCTTCTGTTGTTGTGTTCCCCCTGTGGGTGTGTTCTCCCTGTGGGTGTGTTCCCACTGTGGGTGTGTTCTCCCTGTGGGTGTGTCCCCCTGTGGGTGTGTTCCAGCTGTGGGTGTGTCCCCCTGTGGGTGTGTCCCTGCTGTGGGTGTGTCCCTGCTGTGGGTGTGTCCCCTCTGTGGGTGTGTCCCCCTGTGGGTGTGTTCCCTCTGTGGGTGTGTTCCAGCTGTGGGTGTGTCCCCCTGTGGGTGTGTCCCCATGTGGGTGTGTCCCTGCTGTGGGTGTGTCCCCCTGTGGGTGTGTTCCCTCTGTGGGTGTGTTCCAGCTGTGGAACGGCCCTTCTGTAGGTGTGGTCTCTCAGTGGGTATACCCCCTGATTTTGTACAGTAGACACTAAACTTAAAAAAATGGAAAGAACTGCAGATGCTGGAAATCAGAAACAAAAACAGAAATTGCTGGAAAATCTAAGCAGGTCTGGCAGCATCCGTGGAGAGAAAGGGTCCAGTAACCCTCCTTCAGAACTGAAGATTCTGCTTCTGAGCTCTGTCTGAGGGAGCTGCATCAGTATCCAGGACACTCGATGTGTAAATAAAGGGTGACTTGGTGATGAGATACTGGCCTCTGTGGAGTTATTTCAGCATAAATGAGGATTGATATTGCAGGTTTAGAACAGATGCTGGAGAACAGAGAAATTTCCAAACGGAAATGGGTGGATAGCAGCAGTCAGTCTGTTTGACAAAGAAAGGAGAAATCTCTAAGAAATTGTTGGAATTACTCGGATTGGAACTTGTCTATGTACAGACAAAATACAATATGTTGTCATTCTGTATATCTTGTTTGTTTTGTTGTTGTTTGACATGGATTTATATAAACTGTTAAAAAGAGATTCTGATATCAGCTAATAAAGTCTGAAGGGTTACTTGAGACCTAATGGAACAGGTTGTTAAGATATGAATGAAGAGTTTATTGGATGTGAGTTGCTTGTATAAATATGAGGAGCTAGTAATCATTGGGGGGTGAGCTTTATGAAGTGTGGCCAACTGAAATAAAGCTTTCGCTGAAAGTGTGGACTTGGATTCTGTTCAAAAACATTTATCTACGAGGGTTTAACAAGTTGTGAAAGTATGTTGTGAAGAGAATATGAGGAGACTATAAAAAGATACAGATAGGTTAGGTGAGTGGGCAAAGATCTTTCATTTGACAGGAGAAATAAAAACGAAGCGTGTTTTCTAAATAGCAAGAGCTCTGAGATGCAGAGGGATCTGGGTGTTGCAGTGCATGAGAAAACTAATTTACAGGTACAGCAAGTAATCAGGAAAGCTAATGGAATATTATGGTTTATTGTGAGGGAGATTGAATTGAAGAGTAGGAAGTTTATACTTCATTTATGCAGGACATGAGATACCGTGTACAGTTTTGGTCACCTTATCTGAAAAGATGAAGATGAATGTTTTGGAAACATTTTGGAAAATATTCATTAATCTAACACGTGGAATTAAAACAGAAAGTGCTGGAGAAACTCCACAGGATCTGGCATCATCGTTGGAGAGAGAAAAAGAGTTAATGTTCCGAGTCTGATATGAATCTTTTTCAGAATTTTGAAGATTGGTAGATCACAGAGGGTTCAGGGAGTAAGGTGAGAGCGAGGTTAGACAACATGGAATATTAAAGGGTATGGGGAGTGAGGGAAGGGTGAGATTAGACTGGGTGGGATATTAAAGGGAGTGGGCAGTGGGGAGGGAAAGTGGGATTAGACTAGGTGGGATATTAAAGGGAGCCGGGAGTGAGAGGGAAAGTGGAATTAGACTGAGTGAGATATTAAAGAGTGTGGAGAATGAGGGGAAGAGTGGGGTTAGACTGGGTGGGATATAAAAGGGAGCAGGGAGTGAGGGGAAGAGTGGGATTGGACTGGATGGGGTATTAAAGGGTTCAAGGAGTTAGGTCACCATTTATCTGGATGATGTGCTAATAACAGCGAGGACCAATAAGCAGCAGTTAGAGAACTTGGACATAGCCCTTAGATGTATCTCCCAGGTGGGCATATGCTTTAGAAGGGAAAGTGTATGTTCCAGGAAGTGACCTCCTTGGGCTACAGAGTCGACAAGACCGGGTTACACCTGTTGGAGGATAAAGTGAGGGTGACCAAAGGAGCCCTGGTTCCCCGTCTGTACCAGAGCTCAGGTCCTTCCTGGGGCTCGTGAATTATTACAGAAAGTTCATACACCAGCCTCCATCCTGGCACCTTTGCATCAACTCCTAAAACAGGGTCAGCCTTGGAAATGGTGGCATAGCCAAGCCTTAGCTTTTAGGTAAGTGAGGAAACAGCTATCATCCTCTCAGGGGTAGGAACACTATAATCCCATGTGAGATCTGGTATTAACATGAAACGCATCCCTGTATGGCATTGAGGTGGCATTAGCTCATAGTTGGTCCAATGGAGGGGAACACCCAAAAGCGTGTGCATCCAGGACTTTAGCTAATGCAGAGTGTAAATACACCCGGATGAGAAGAAAGGTTTGGTGGTAATATTTGGAGTCAGGAAGTTCCACCAATACCTTTACGAATATAAATTTGTAATAATAACGGACCGTAAGCCCCTGCTAGCTCTAGTTAAAGAGGACAAGGCAGTGCTGCCCATAGCTTCAGCCTGAATTCAGTGGTGGGCTCTAATACTAAGTTGTAGAATTACAAGTTGGAACACTGTACAGGAGGCCAAGTAGTGAATGTGGATGCATTGAGCTACCTCCCACTGGCAGATACACCCCTGATGATACCGCCACTGGAATAATCCATAAAAGTTTTAAATTTTCTGGGCACACTCCCAGTCACAGCTGACAATATCAGACTTTGGACACAGAAGGATCCGGTCCTGGGAAAACTGGAACAGCTGGTGGTGATGGGGGAAACCAAAGGGCCATCACAACCAGAATTGAAACCTTTTTGAACCCAGAGAGACCCAATCACGGTAGAGGACGGCATGTTATTATGGGGAGCAAAAGGGATTGTCCTGAGCAAAGGTCACTGCCAGATTCTGGCTGAACTCCACCTGGGTCATCCAGGGGTTTCCAAAGTGAAGATCTTGCAGATCACATGGAATACAAGGAGAGCTAGCCATTTGGATATAAAATTGGCTTGAAGGTAGGAGACAGAAGGTGGTGGTGGAGAGTTGTTTTTCAGACTGGAGGCCTGTGATTGGCAGGGTGTACCACAAGGATCGGTGCTGGGTCCACTGCTTTTTGTCATTTATATAAACAATTTTGATGTGAACATAGGAGGTATAGTTACTAAGTTTGCAGATGACACCTAAATTGGAGGTGTAGTAGACAGTGAAGAAGTTTACCTCAGAGTATGACAGGATCTTGATCAGATGGGCCAATGGGCTGAGGAGTGGCAAATGGAGTTTAATTTGATAAATGTGAGGTGCTGCATTTTGGAAAGACAAATCAGGGCAGGACTTATACACTTATTTGTAAGGTCCTGGGGAGTGTTGCTGAACAAAGACACCTTTGGGTGAAGGTACATAGTGCATGAAAATAGAGTCGCAGGAAGACAGGATGGTGAAGAAAGCGTTTGGTATACTTGCGTTTATTGGTCAGTGCATTGAGTATAGGAGTTGGAGGTCATGTTGCGTCTGTACAGGACATTGGCTAGGCCACTTTTGAAATACCGCGCTCAGTTCTGCTCTTTCTCCTATTGGAAAGATGTTGTGAAACTTGAAATGGTTCAGAAAAGATTTACAAGGATGTTGCTGGAGCTGGAAGCTTTGAGCTGTAGGAAGAGGCTGAATAGGTTGAAGCTATTTTCTCTGGAGCGTCGGAGTCTGAGAGGTGGCCTAATAGAGGCATGGATATGGTGAATAGCCAAGGTCTTTTTCCCAAGGTCAGGGAGTTAAAAACGAGAGGCCATAGGTTTAAAATGAGAGGGGCAAGATATAGAAGGGACCTTTTCACGCAGAGGGTAGACCGTGTATGGAATGAGCTGCCAGAGGAGCTGGAGGAAGCTGGTACAATTACAACATTTAAAAGGCATCTGGAAGGGTATATGAATAGGAAGGGTTTAGAGGGACGTGGGCCAAATGCTGGTGAATGGGACTAGGTTAACTTAGAATATCTTGACAGCATGGAAGAGTTGGACTGACAGGTCCATCTCTATGCTGTACATCTTTATGACTCTATAATTCTATGTTGATGAGAAGTTATGTCTGGTGGCCAGGATTGAATGCAGAGATAGCCGTGTTGGTGGGGCAGTGCCCAGAGTGCCAACAAGGATTAAAATTGCCGCCAGTAGGTCCCTCACACTTGTGGGAATGGCCAGGGTAAACCCTGGACTCGGGGTTACTCATTGACTATGCAGGTCATTTCATAGACTCCATGTTCTTAGTACTGATGATGCACACTCAAAACGGCTGGAGGTACATAGAGTTAATTCGTCAAATACAGGGACGATGATAAAAAAAAATGTGTATATCTTTTGCAATACACAGAGTCCCAGAAGTGTTGGTGACAGATAACAGGCCATCGTTTACCAGCAGCAAGTTTGAGTATTTCCCAAAGTCGAATGGGATTTGACACATAAGGACAGCTCCGTTCCATCCATCATCCAATGGTCTGGCAGAAAGAGCAGGCCACACTTTGAAGGCAGCCTTAAAGAAACAGCCTACAGCTTCACTTGATACCAAACTGTCCCAGTTCCTGTTTGATTATGGGACTACCCCTCATGTAACTACAGGGATGGGTCCAGCAGAGTTACTAATGGGGAGAAGACTCTGCACCAGGTTAAACCTGATCTTCCCAGACCTGGGGGGGTGGTAGTGGAGAGGGTAAAACAGCCTCAGGAACCCCAATGCCGGGCACAAGATGGTGCTAAGGGAGAGAGATGGTTTGCTTTAGGGGATGAGGTTTGGTGTAGGAACTGCGGGAATGGCCCTGCATGGGTAAGAGGCATGGTCAACGTGAGGTCAGGTCCAGTGAGGTATAAAGTTTGGGTAGGTGAGATGGTCCTGAACAAGCACATGGACATATGAAGGCAGCAAACTTGCAAATAGTGTGGGAGCAAAACATTCCCGTCTCCTCAACAGCCTTTCTGACTGTTCCAGACCCTGTAGGTTCTCCCTCTCTGTCAAGCGTTGAAGATACCTTGGAGCCTGAGATGGACACAGCGGATGTCACTGTCTTGAAGCCTTTGCCACCTGAAGAGGAGAGTGAATTTATTCCGAGACGCTCCGGGTACAAGAGGCGTGTTACTGTGCGTTACATGCTGCCCATATTAGGGGCAGAGTTGGAGGAACCTGACCCAGTGCTAAAACACCCAGAAGGAGATACAACTTGTGTCCTCGGGTACAGAGGGGGAGGGATGTAGTGATTATAATGAGGTCAACCAGGTGGACCTCATAGAATCTGAACAAAAACAAAGTTGCTGGAAAAGCTCAGAATGCTGAGGAAGGGTCACTGGACCTGAAACGTTAACTCTGATTTTTTCTTCACAGATGCTGCCAGACCTGCTGAGCTTTTCCAGCAACTTCTGTTTTTGTTCCTGATTTACAGCATCCACAATTCTTTCAGTTTTTATTCCCATAGAGTCTGGGTTCCCTGATTGAGGCTGTTAATCTGGTACAATCAGGGAGCCCTGGCTGACAAATATAAACAGGAGTGTCAGAAGTTCTGTTCACTCTGGGAGCTGGCTCTGAGGGAGCTGGATCAATGCCAAGGACCCTCCATGTGTAAATAAAGGGGGACTTGGTGGCAGGATACCGGCATCTGTGGAAGGGTATATGAATAGGAAGGGTTTAGAGGGATGTGGGCCAAATGCTGGTGAATGGGACTAGGTTAATTTAGAATATCTTGACAGCATGGAAGAGTTGGACTGACAGGTCCATCTCTATGCTGTACATCTTTATGACTCTATAATTCTATGTTGATGAGAAGTTATGTCCGGTGGCCAGGATTGAATGCAGAGATAGCCGTGTTGGTGGGGCAGTGCCCAGAGTGCCAACAAGGATTAAAATTGCCGCCAGTAGGTCCCTCTGCAGTGCCTTCTCAAAGGCAAGTAGGATCGTGGTAGTAACTGCTGGCCTTACTTTAACAATCTCTGTGACATTTTCTCCATCAGCTGCAGAAGGTACGAAGGATGGCACAGCCGTGTTTAAGTACACACGCTGGCGAGTGAAAGGGAAGGCGATTCCAGAGGTGGTGAGTGAGTATTCGAGTCTCGGAGCAGAGCTGAACGTGTTACCTTTCTGCTCCCAGTTCATCCCGATGGAAGTGATTGACTTTCCGAAGCATGGCTCCATCATTTACCACCCGTCCCTGCTGCCCAAGCACAGGGGAGCCTCGTCTATCAACTGGTAAGAGGACCCCAATAAATTCAATTTACACCAAACCTTACGTTCAGTACAATCATGGCTGATCTACAACTTATCTACATCAGCTACTAACAGAACCATTAGTAGCAGTTCATTACCCGAGACTTTCGTTTAACCGCTCCTTTGTCTGTCCAACTGTTTGTCTCTGTTTGGGCTCTACCTTCATCTATCATTCCCCGTTCCCACTTTCTCCTCATACCCTTTGATCTCTTTAAAACTATATGTGCCTCCTTCTTGAAGACACGTAATATTTTGGCCCTAACCACTTCTTGTGAAGTGATTTCTGCAGGCTCAGCTGTCATTAGGTGAAGACATTTCTCCTCAGCTCAGTGCTAAATGGCCTGGCCTGTATCTTTAAAGAGTTGGATGATCAGTCATGATCACATCGAATGTAATCATGTAGTGTTAGTGGGGGATTTCAACTTCTCCAACATTAACTGGGCTAGTCGCAGTGTGAAAGGTTTTAAGAGGAAGCAGAATTCTTAAAATGCAACCAGGACAGCTTTTTAGGCCAGTTCCTAGAAGGCAGTACAAGGGAGGGCAGTCCTGGACTGAATTCTGGGCACTGAAGTTGGGCAAATGGTTTAAGTATCAATGAGGGAACATTTTGCTGACAGCAAGCATAACTCTATTAGATTCAAGATTGTTGAGGAAAAGGGCAAGGATGGGCCTGAAATCAAATTTCTAAGCTGGGTGAAGCATTGGCCAGAGTGGACTGCAACAGATACTTTTAGGCAAATCTGTGTCAGAGCAGTGACATGCATTCAAGGAGGTAACAGGGAGAATATAGGGCCTACATGTTCATAAAAGACCAACAAATCCAGTGAACCCTGAATATCGAGGTACATGCAGGATTGAAGAGAGAAATAAAAGGAGGCTGATGGCAGAAAGCGAGGGCAGAAGGCCTATAGAAGTACAAAATATGCAAAAGGAAACTTATAAAGGAAATTAGGAGAGCAAATAGGAGAGTGAAAGGATAATGACAAAAAGAATAAAGGAATATCCCAAGTTGTTTTAAGTAGATTAAGGTTAAAAGGATAACAAGGGAAAGAGTAGGACCCGTTCAGGGGAACAGTGAGTCGGAATATGTAGGTAGTGTTCTAAATAAATATTTTGTGTCAATGTTCACTAGTGAGAGGAACGATGTAGTATAGAAATCAGGGGAAAGGACTATGGGATGTTTAAAGAAATTAGTAAAGACAGAGAGGAGGTTCTGATTGGTTTGGCAGCTCTAAAAGTAGAGAAATCTCCAGGGCCAGATGAAATATATCCTGGGTTGCTGAGTGAGGAAAGGGAGGAATTAGCAGGGATGCTAGCATATATTTTCAGTTCCTTTCTGGTCTGGTGTCAAAGGACGGGAGGCAGTCAGCGTAGTACCGTTATTCAAGAAGGGAGCAAGGGATAAACCAGGAAACTACAGGCCAGTCACCCTACCCTCAGTAGTGGGAAAATTATTGCAAGCAATTCTGAAGGATAGAATTATTCTGCATTTGGAGAGGTAGGGATTAATCAAAAAGAGTCAGAGTGGTTTTGTTAAAGAGAGGTCATGTCTGACCAACTTGATTGAATTTTTTGAAGAGGTAACTTGGTGTGTGGCTAAGGGCAATGTATCTGATGTAGTCTCCTTGGACATCAGCAAGGCTTTTGGTAAGGACCCACATGGGAGACTGACAGCAAAGGTAGGAGTCCATGGGATTGAAGAATATTTGGTTAATTGGACCCAGAATTGACTGGATGGCAGGAAGCAGGGGGTGATGGTTCTGAGCTGTTTATCTGACTAGGATAGTGTGACCAGTGGAGTTCTGCAGGGATTAATGTAAGGCCCTTGCTGTTTGTGATTTGTATAAATGATTTAGACATGAATTTAGGAGCATTGATCACTAAGTTTGAAGATGTTATGAAAATTGATGGGTTGGTTAGTGGTGAGGAGGGTGGCCTTAGATTACAGGAGGATATGGGCATGCTGGTCAGATAGACGGTAACAAGTGGAATTCAGTCCGGGATAAATGTGAGGTGATTAACCTGGACAGGACAAACAAGACAAGGGAATACATGATGAACAGTAGGATCCTGGGATCAGAGGGATCTTAATATGCATGTCCACTAGTCCCTTAAGGTATCAGGACAGATAGATAAAGTATTTAAGAAGGCATACTTGCCTTTATTAGCCAAGGTAGAGAGTTTAACAGCTGGGAGATTATGCTGGAGCTGTATAAAACTTTGGTTAGGCCACAGCTGTAGTATTGTGTGCAGTTCTGGAATCCACATTATTGGAGGGAGGTGATTGCAATGGAGAGGGTGCAGAGCAGATTTCTTTTATTCATCCACTTGTGAAATGTGGGCATCATTTGCTGGTCCATCATTTATTGCCTGTCCCTACTTACCCCTTAAGAAGGTGATGCCTTCTTGAATCGCTGCAGTCCATGTGCTGTGGGTTGACCCGCAATGTCCCTTAGGGAGGAAATTCCAGGATTTTGACCCAGCGACAGTGAAGTAATAACGATATATTTCCAAGTCAGGATGGTGAGTGGCTTGGAGGGCAACCTGCAGGAAGTAACGTTCCCATGTACCTGCTGCCCTTGTCCTTCTAGATGGAAGTAGTCGTGGGTTTAGAATGTACTGTTCGAGGATCTTTGGTGAATTTCTGCTGTGCATCTTGTAGATAGTACACACTGCTGCTACTGAGCGTCGGTGGTGGAGGGAGTGGGATGTTTGTGGATGTGGTGCCAATCAAGCGGCTGCTTTGTCCTGGATGGTGTCAAGCTTCTTGAGTGTTGTTGGGACTGTACCCATCCAGGCAAGTGGGGAGTATTCCATCACACACCTGACTTGTGCCTTGTAGATGGTGGACAGGCTTTGAGGGGTCAGGAGGTCAGTTACTCACCGCGGTATTCCTAGCCTCTGAATGCCTGCCCTATTCCCCACCCCATTCCCCCCACCCAACACCCGGCCTTAGCCATTGTGTTTATGTGGCGAGTTCAGTTGAGTTTCAGGTCAGTCCCCAGGATATTGATAGTGGGGATTTAGTAGGCAACACCATTGAAAGTCGAGGTGGTTAGATTGTATCTTATTGGAGATGGTCATTGCCTGACCTTTGTGCTGTGCAAATGTAACTTTCAACTTGTCAGCTCAAACCTAGTTATTGGCCAGATCTTGGTACATTTGGTCTGCTTCAGTATCTGGGGAGTTGCTAATACTGCTGAACATTCAGCGAGCATCCCGCTTCTGACCTTATGATGGAGTGTGGTGGGAGTCTGAATCACTGCCTGAAAGGCTGGTACAGGCAGAAACCCTCTTAACATTTAAGAAGTATTTAAATGAACACGAGCAATGCCGAGATATAAAAGGCTGTGGTCAAGTACTGGAAATTGGGATTAGAAGAATTAGGTGGATGTTTTTAATAACTGACGTGGATACGATGGGCTGAAGGACCTTTATAAGTGCTGCAGACCTCTACGTTCCTATACCCCTTATGGTAGAGTAGATTTGAAGGGCCAAATGGCCTCCTCATGCTCCTTTTTCCTGTGTTTCTATTTGGAGCTGCGATAAAGAACATTAATTATACACCAGGCCTGGAGTCACAGGTTTGAGTTGTAATGTTTGGATTCACATAGAGTTTAGAAAGAGTAGAGCCCATATCCACTGGAAAAAACTAAAGATCCAGAGACACCAATAATCAGAGGACCCAGAGTCAGACTCTTGTTTCCTCTCACAACTTACCTCTGTGACCTGTTTTTGTATCTTCACCAAATTTCATGATTGGAAATTGTGCTCCCTTCACAAATAGAAAGTCAATAGTCACACAACACCAGCTTATAATCCAACAGGTTTATTTGACATCACAAGCTTTCAGAGCCTTGCTCCTTCATTGGGTGAAGTCAGAAGCTTGTGATGTCAAATAAACCTGTTGGATTATAACCAGGTGTCGTGTGATTTCTGACCTTGTCCACCCCAGTCCAACACTGGCACCTCTGCTTCATCACAAATAGAAGAGTCACATTCGTTATTTTTCAATCTGATGGGAACTTTCCTGGGAATTTTGAAAAATTAATACCAATGCATCTACAATCTCAGCAGCCATTTCTATTAAAGCCTTAGGGTGAAGTCCTTCAGGACCCAGCCACTCATCAGATTTTAGTTTTATTAAATTTTTCAGCATCATTTCCTTGGTGGTTGTTATTGTTTTAAGTTCCTCCCTCCTCTAATTCACACTTATTTCCAAAAAGTTATTTATATTCTCTATTGTGAAGAGAGACAAAAAATGTCTGTTCAATTGATCTACCTTACCCTAATTTCAATGATTAAATCCCCAGAATCACACTCTAGATGAACAACACTCCCTTTATTTACACATCTTTTTTAAATACCTATAAAACTCTTGCTATCTGTTTTTAAATTTCTACCCAGCTTTCCCTGAAACTCTAATAATGCCCTCATTATTAATTGTTTAGTCACACTTTGCTGTGCTTAATATTCTGTCTGGCCTTTTGACCTGCCACTCATCTTTGTGTACTTTATGAACATTTTCTTTCAGTTTTACACTATGTTTAACTCTCTTAGTTAGGCTCAGCTGGTACATCCTTCCTTTAGCCACCATCTTTCTCATTGGAATAAATATTTCCAGAGTATTCTGAAATATCTCTAAATGCCTAGCATTGTATCGCTTTAATCTAGTTTTCCAGTTTACTTTAGCCAACTTCATGCTGTGTTTAAGTTTAAAACAGTAGTCTTAGATCCATTCATCTCTCCCTCAAGTTTACATTCACGTAGGCAGGTTTTTCACAGGGAATAGCAATCAGGAGTGAGGGCTCTCCTGGATTTGCCTGTCCAGTTCCATGGGAACCTCAGCTGTAGTATTCCCACAGTCATCGTGGCTTTCCCCAGCCATCTCAACATTGGGCACATTGGGCTGCAGACTTACCCAATCAAGTTTGTTTTATTATTCATTTGTGGGATGTGGGTGTCATTGGCTGAGCCAGCATTTCTTGCCCATCCCTAGTTGCCCTTGAGAAGGTGGGGGTGAGCTGTCTTCTTGAACCGCTTCAGTCCTCCTGCTGTAGGTTGACCCACAATGCCCTCAGGGAGGGAATTCCAGGATTTTGACCCAGTGACAGTGAAGGAACGGCGATATATTTCCAAGTCAGGATGGTGAGTGGCTTGGAGGGGAACTTGCAGGGGGCTGGTGTTCCCGTGTATCTGCTGCCTTTGTCCTTTTAGATGGAAGTGGTCGTGGGTTTGGAAGGTGCTGCCTGAGGATCTTTGGTGAATTTCTGCAGTGCATCTTGTAGATAGTACACACTGCTGCTACTGAGCGTCGGTGGTGGAGGGACTGGGATGTTTGTGGATGTGGTGCCAATCAAGCGGCTGCTTTGTCCTGGATGGTGTCAAGCTCCTTGAGTGTTGTTGGGGCTGCACCCATCCAGGCAAGTGGGGAGTATTCCATCACACTCCTGACTTGTGCCTTGTAGATGGTGGACAGGCTTTGGGGAGTCAGGAGGGGAGTTACTCGCCGCAGTATTCCCAGCTTCTGATCTGCTCTTGTAGCTACTGTGTTTATGTGGTGAGTCCAGTTGAGTTTCTGGTCAATGGTAATCCCCAGGATGTTGATAGTGGGCGATTCAGTGATGGTAACACCATTGAATATCAAGGGGTGGTGGTTAGATTGTCTCTTATTGGTGATGGTCATAGCCTGGCATTTGTGTGGCGTGAATGTCACTTGCCACTTGTCAGCCCAAGCCTGGATATTGTCCAGATCTTGTTGTATTTGAACATGGACTGCTTCAGTATCTGAGGAGTCACGAATGGAGCTGAACATTGTGCAATCATCGGCGAACATCCCCCCTTCTAACCTTATGATGGAGGGAAGGTCATTGATGAAGCAGCTGAAGGTGGTTGGGCCTAGATGGCTTAATAAGCAACAAAAACAGAAATTGCTGGAGAAACACAGCAGGTTTGGCAGCATCTGTGGAGAGAAAACAGAGTTAACGTTTTGAGTCCAGTGACCCTTTTCCCAGCATCTGTCGCTCTTTGTTTTATTTTAGGGTTTATAAGCAATGTCTGATTTATTTGTTTCTCTCCCCAGGACTCTGATCCATGGAGACAAGAAAGGAGGGTTCAGTATTTTCTGGGCAGATGATGGCTTGGATACAGGTCCCATTCTCATGCAGAAAGAATGTGAAGTGTTTCCTGATGATACCATTAGCACCCTGTACAACCGATTTCTCTTCCCTGAAGGAATTAAAGGCATGGTATGGCTCATTTGAAACATTGCTTCACCCAATGTTCAGTCAATGTCTTCCAAATTTTAACTGAGACTGACGGAGAAATAATAAGATTGAGAAAGCAGTGGAGCCAGATAGATATGAGAAACTGAGATAGTCTGTAATGTAGGAATAACAGCAGGAAATGTGCACACAGCAAGATCCCACAAACAGTAAGGTGATAATGGGAAGCCAATCTGTTTCAGTGATGTTGACTGAAGAGTCAGTCTTGGCTTTCTCTTGGACTTTTCACAGGTGTGACTTCAGCTTTACATTTTATTTGAAAGGTGACATTTTCAAAGTATTAATTAACAATCCTGCTGTGTGAGGTCCATTGGTCGTAAAGTGATAGAATTGTCCATTAAGATGGAAAGCAAAGAAATTGAATCCGAAACTAGCATCCCGATGCAATTAAAAGGAAAGTTGAGAGTTTGAAGTGTGAGTTGTCAATAAGGGTGTAAAATAGATAAGGGAGAACCAAAACAGAAGTTGCTGGAAAAACTCAGCAGGGCTGGCAGCACCTTTGAAGAAAAAATCAGAGTTAACGTTTCGGGTCCAGTGACTCTTCCTCAGAACTGATTTCCAGCATCCGCGGTTCTTTCGGTTTTACAATGGCTATGGTATTTCGGTTTTACAATGGCTATGGTATTTAGGTTTTACAATGGCTATGGTATTTAGGTTTTACAATGGCTATGGTATTTAGGTTTTACAATGGCTATGGTATTTCGGTTTTACAATGGATATGGTATTTCGGTTTTACAATGGCTATGGTATTTCGGTTTTACAATGGATATGGTATTTTGGTTTCAAGAAGATTTTTGATAAGGTCCCATGTGAGAGCTTGTGCCCAGAATTGATGCACATAGGATTAGGGACAATTTACTGGCATGGGTTGAGATTTGGTTAACAGACAGAAAACAGAGATTGGGAATAAATGGATATTTTTCAAGGTTGCAGGCAGTGACTACAGGTATACCACAAGGGTAAAGTTTTAAATAAATACTTCTTATCTGTATTCACAGACAAGAAAGACATTGTGGCCAGGGATATGAGTTGGGAGGGCGAGGTTCTTGAATACATTAAGATTAATGAGGAGGCGGGATTAGATATTTTAGCAGGCCTTACAGGTACATGAATCCCCATGGCCTGATGAGATGTATCCCAGGCTGCTATGGGAGGTAGGGAGGAGATTGCTGGAGCCTTAGTGGAGATATTTAATACCACTCTGGTCACAGGTGAAGTGCCAGATGACTGGAGAATAGCTAATATGGTTCCTTTGTTCAAGAAAGGCAGCAGGGATAGGCCATGTCATTACAGACCAGTTATTCTGATATCAGTGATAGGAAACATTTTGGAAAAATTTCAGAGAGACAGCATTAATCAACATTTGGAAAGGCAAGGATTGAGCAGGGATAATTACCATGGATTTTTTAGAGAGAGATCTGTCTGACTAATTTATTTGAACTTTCTGAAAAAGTAACTAAATATATTGGATGAGGGTAGTGCAATTGATGTGGTTTATATGGAGTTCAGTAAGGCCTTTGGTAAGTTCCCCCATG